TCATCAGATAACATTTACTCGTTCTAAAAATGTAAATATTAATCAGTATACGATTGATGGTTGTAATTTGCTTAATGTTTATAGTATTAAAGATTTAGGAGTTATATTATCCAGTGATTTATCTTTTTCTAACCATATAGATTATATTTACAATAAAGCCTCACGAAGACTTGGCTTTTTGAGAAGAAATTGTAATGAATTCAATAATATTTTGTGTATCAAAACCTTCTACATTTCTTTGGTAAGATCAATTTTAGAATATGCATCCATTATTTGGTGTCCATATAAAATAGGTGAAATTAATAGAATAGAATCTATACAAAGACGTTTTTTACACTTCATTTCTTTTAAGTCTAGGGATTATAATGTGTCGATCGATGAAATAGGAATCTCTCTTGGTTTAACTTCCCTTGCTTACAAGAGAAAATGCAATGATGTTTTTTGGATTTATAATCTCCTTAATAATAATGTAGATTGTCCAGAAATTTTAAGTCTAATTCCTTTTAATGTTCCTAATTTTCATCTCCGATCTAATAATTTATTTTATGTTAACTCATATCGTCAGAATTATAGTTATTATTCACCGGTCAATAGAATGCTACATTTTTGCAATTTAATTAAAAATTTTGATTTCTTTAATGACCATTTAATCAAGTTATAATCTATTTGTAGCGATGTATTTTAATTATTAATTTTGTATGTTAATAATTTAAACTTCTATGTATGCTGTACTTATTTAATTATTTAGATATTTTGTATTTATATTCTGTACTCATTGCCGTCTGTGGCGTACTCAATATTTATTTGTTTTTTTCTGTTTGATTATGTTGTGTCTTGTATATTATAAAATAAATAAATAAATAAATAAATAAATAAAAATAAATAAATAAATTATGAATAAATGGACTGTAAACAATTTTCATCAGAGTAAAAAAGATACTTTTACTATTCAATTTTTCGTGCTGAATTCAAATCAGCAATTTAATGTTTTCCATCACCAGTAATTTTTGATATTATTACTAATTAGTTAAAAACTATAATATACAGAATGATTTTTTTATCATAACCCACTCAATTACTTATAGAATAATAGTAATTTAAAATTTTTTTTTATTATTATCTTTAGTTACACATTATTCTTGAATTATTAACTATGTAATACTTTTAAAGTTCATCACTTATGTCTGATAAGGGTGTCAACTTTGTTTTTTTAAATGGTAACACATATTTTTAATTTAATAAAATGTTTGAGTTTTTAATTTAATAGTAAATGGCATTTGAATTTTTAATATAACTTTATTCGTTTATTAGATATAAACTTTTAAAGTTTGAAATTTTTGAGTTAATATACATGTATAATACACAAAGGATTACAAATACAGGTAGCTAATTAATTTTTTGCAGTCACAGTCACGGATTATTTATTATCATTATGACTATCATAGATATACTTTCTGTATTGTCAGTTAGTGTATTTATAAACTCACAACAATGTGCCTTAATACCATTGATAATAACAATTCTGTGTACCTGCGAATATCGATGTCATAAAAAATTAATTAGCTACCCTTTGATACGATCACATTTGCATGTGCCCATATCTTTGTCTCCCATACCATCGTTGTACCGTTTAATAGACATACAGGGTGTTCAGTAAGAGAGAACAATGAGAACAATAGAAACCCGTTTCCTGACTTACTGAACACCCTGTATATATATATAATTAACACAGTGACATACAGCAATACTAACAGGAGGGCGGACTGCACACATAAACACTTTTTGCAATTCACGGCCAATGTGCCATAATAAGATATCCCTATCGACAGTTGACATTTTACCATCTTCGCGATCACTACTTTTGCCTGATAATTAACTTAACTTCGCTAC